ACCCACTGAAAACAAACGATTTCTACCTTAAAAGGTAGAGGTGTTTTGCTCTGAGTTTTCCTCTGCTTCTATAGATTATTTTACTTTTAAAGCATAGTGCTCAAACTGAAAATAATATTAAAAGGAATCAATATCAAAAGACTATAATAGGAAACATACCTTTCCAATTTTTATAACCATAGTAAATTCCATCCTGTTATAAATACCATGTTTCCAACTTTTTAATCATTTTAAATTGTGGCCTGTCTTCCAAACAACATTAAATATTTAATAAAAATAGTGCAGTTAATATAGTTTAAAAATCTGTAGCAAAGCCCACCTCATCATAGTTACTAAAATTTTTAAATTTGTTTTGCCATATGGTCCCTTAACCCATCCATCTGATTTTCAGCAACATAATTATATTTTTATTTCCTCATTTCTGGTGATTAATAAATATGCTGACATTCAAGAAACAGTTATTGCTAATTTACTAAGGATAAAAATACAGGGCTCCGCACGAGAACTGAAACATGACTAAGATACTCTTTCTTTGATGATGTTTGAATATCAATAGTCAACTTGGGACATAGGTAAAATATAACAAAATTCAAAACATCGAAATAAGATCTCAATGTGATAGACTCAGGAATTTGGACTTAATTTTTATTTCTTTGATCAGCCATCACCTCTTATAAAAGTTAGCATATTTTTTGGTTTGCCGTCACCTCTTTAAAAAATCATTCAAAAGTAGAAGTTAGTTAAAGAGAGCAAATAAGGTTGAAATTATAAGTTAATCAAAAGAAACAAACACACATGTCTCCAGTCAACCCACAAATCTCAAAATATTTCTATACACCTCAAAAAATGGAAATTCAGACTTATAAAGACTTCACAGTTCAGGTATTTTCTAGTTAAATGTTTTCAAATGACCTATAAATCAGATTTGAATATTACATATAAGATATGAAATATCAAGTTTCTAAATGACCCTTTTACTATTTTGTCATACCTGAGTAAAATAATTTTATAGTTTCCACCTAACTCATGTTTATTATTTTAGGGAACTTTACAAAGAATGGATTAGGCAGACAATATCTGAACCTAGTGATCAGTCTTAATCACCACAGAGAGCAATAACCAGACATTATGCAAAAAGAAGTATAATAATCTATAAAGTAATCTTTCCAAAAAATAAAACTCAAGTCTTGCCAAGCCTCTGGATTTAACTACCAGCTTGGAAGAAACACAGGGGGACAGAGGAACATGCTAAATGACACAACAAAGATGCACTGAGTAAAACCCAAAATGTGAGAAATTCTATAAGACAAACAGCCTACTTTTTTCAATAGATAAATTGCAAGAGGCAAAAGGACAGAAAGAGAAGAAACTACAGATTAAAAGAGACTTATGAAATATATTAAATGCAGTATGTGAACCTTGTCTATATCTTGACTGAAGCAAACCAACCATACAAGAAAGCAAAACTCTTTATGAGATAATGAGAAAAATGTGAATAATAACTGGACATTTAACCAAAGAATTCTTAATTTTCAGGTACAGTAGTATTGTGGTTATATTAAAATAACAAAAATGTGCCCTTAGCTTTTAGAGATGCATGCACAGGCACACAAACATGTATTTACAGATAATGTTGGTAAGATATACAGGAATTGCTCCAAAATAGTCTGGGAGAAATGTCCAGGGAGCACTGATACACATGACATAAAATTAATCATTATTAACTGTTGAAACTAGATGGTGGGCACATAAAGGTTCATTATACTAGTCTATATATCTTTTTAAGTGCTCGTTTTAAAGTTTAAAAACAAAAAAGCATTGTCCTTTGTAGACTGTTAACCTCTGAGGCATTCTGATAGAAGTACTAACTTAGCCCACCTAGGCATAAGGCACTATTACAGGTGCTAGAGAAATAGTATAATAGGAGAAACAAGTATTTTAAAATTCCCTACAACACAGCAACTGACAAATGAAACAGAATTATTACATAATTGCTAACCAGAGGAAGAAGTAATCAGAAGCATGTAATTTCAGAGATTTACTAATAGTAGTTGACAAATATAAGCATGAATAATAAGCAAATGGGTTTCTGGGTATCAGTCTTCTGGGTAATCTCCCATTCTTTCTTCTATGGGTCCCTGCTGCTGCTAAGTCACTTCAGTCGTGTCCAACTCTGTGGGACCCCACAGACAGCAGCCCACCAGGCTCCTCTGTCCACAGGATTCTATAGGCAAGAATACTGGAGTGGGTTGCCATGTCCTTCTCCATCTATGGGTCCCTAGCTTTCTGATATTATCAAACTAGTAAGTCAAAGTAAAAAATATCATCTACTTGCTTCTTCCTTTCTGCAGAAACACTGATTTTATATTATTTGGCAATTTTTGGTTTCCTTTTGTTAAGACAGCTTAAAATTACAACAAATACATTTGGCCACTCTCCTCATTTTTATTTAAATGTCTATTACAATAAAATAATAAGAAGCATTTAATTAAAGAAAAACTGAACAAAACTAAGAAAAACAATTTTAAACAATAGCCTGAGAACATTCCATGTGATCATGGACATCAAGACCAAAATGGTCTTCCATAAAAACACAGATAATAAGCAATAAACTATTAAACTTAAAATTGGAATACTATGCTTATGCTAGCTAGCCCAACAAATATTATTCCTTTCCTACAAATCAGAAACTAAATGGCATAGACTTATAAACAGACGTCTTTTAAAACTTAGTTTGAAATCTTATACTTAAAAGATTAAATTATTAATTACCAATTAAATACCAATACCTACTTATATATTAATACATACACATTTATAAGCAGTGGCTTAAACACTTTAAAATATAAAAATATACTATATAATTGACCTTTATCATTTTTCAAAGATTTATATTTTTAAAGGATCTTTCAAACTAATAAAATACCAAAACTCTCTTGACTAATGTTTCAGTATAATTGAGCACTGGATAGGTAACACTGGAAGAAATCACAGTGAAAGATATATATAATGCAAAGAAATTAACAGTATTATTCCATTTCATGAAAAAGAGAAGAGACCAGTCACCAATTTCTGGGTCACGATAAAGTAACATTAAATGGACGTAAAACATTGTTTAATAGAAATACAATTCTGATAACACCACCTAGTTCCTCATGAAAAACATTCACATTCAAAAAACTTGAAGAAACAAGTGAAATATAGAGAGCAGTTGTAAATCACTTACAGAGCTCATATTGGGAGAAATGATTAAATAATAGACTCTTGTTAGGGAATAACAATGTGAGGTGTTACTCAATGTATCTTCTCTGATTGGGGGAAATATTTTGGTCTGTGGTATCTGAAAATACCCAACTCTTGAGTTCTCTAACAACCCAGTTCAACCCTAAGTCTCTCACGCTGAATATTCAAATACAGCAACCAACACAAAGGCCAAGCCTCTACACAGACATGAGCAGACCCAAAACTGGGTAGTGCAGCCTACGTATCACTATTGCTTTTTCAATTCTTCTGGCAGCAACAGAAATCTACCTGTTTCAGGATGCAAAATTTGTTTAAATAGATCATCATCCTTAGAAAATGACCACCTACAACAGCAATGAAGAAAGAAAATCAGATAAATGAAGCACAAGTAAAAGAGAGATTCACCTGTCAGAAAAAGTAAAGCTTAAGTATTCACTATCAGTTTCTCATAAACAACAACAAAAAAAGAGACCAAAACATGAAGAGACACATGGCCCTAGTTCAGACAAGGCCCAGAAATCTGTCCTTCTCATCTATACACTTTTCTTTACATAGCACTGTCTTCTCTCAATGATGTATTAATTCAACCATTATTTTAAAAACTGCATTTGCTGAAGACACTGGGCAAGCAGGTCAGATGTGTACATCTCAATCAGCTTGTTCAGTGACCCCAAAAGAACTGGGGGTACAGCCACTACCTCATTTGCCCAAGGTCACACATGTTTCCAGGCAGAGTAAGCTCTAAAAGAACCCACAGGCTTTGCTTTCCTAGAAGAACAAAATTCTCTCTAAAGCCCAAACACTGAGGTAGACGTGTTCTCTGCACAGACACCAAAGGCTAATTTGGCTGCTATTTCCCACAGATTTTACCCATAGGAATTCCATGCTAGTCTTCTTGATCTGAGTCCATAGTATACTCTATTAATTCCCTGTCTGGAGCCATCAAGGAAGCCCCAGTCTAAGACCACAATCTATGAAATTAGAAGGTTCTAAGTCCCTTTCATAAAATTAGCTTTCATTCTCAATATTTATATATCCTTAAAAAACATCATTTCTTCTTAAATTTCACATTCAGACTATTAACACCAATGAGTACTCATTCAGAGATAATATGTCAAACATCCATTAAATCTCTTATGCTTTTTTAGAACTGTTTCCATATACCTTTCTAATACTTAATAGTTCATTTATATTCTAACACATATATTTCCCTGAAACAATCTGGACTCTCATTAGATCATAAAAACTTTAAGAGTGAGTTAACTTTGTCATACAAATACTTTACAGGTAAACATATCATATCATACAATATATAAACTCTTCTCTAAAATTACATGAAATGTTATTTGGTTTTTCTCTGTTCTTCCTAATACACTCTTTCAACTGTAACCAACTCTTAAAATAACTTTAAAAGTGAACCCAATCAAAACAAACTCAACATGCCATCCCACCAAAGCAGCATATCCCTAATATAATTTGCTTCAAACACTACTGTAGAATAGTTTAAGTAACTGTAAAAGAGTACCACATAAATGTGGTATACTTCTGAACATGAATTATGTTAATACAATTTCTTAAGTTTAAATAACACAGGGTAGATTGCTGAAAACAATTAAATGACAACCAATTATTTCAGATAGCAAAAATGACATCTCTTTATTAAATGCTAGTTATTCCATTCTATCACCAATTGTCCTGCAGAGGTCGTAAACAAATAGGAAAGGTATCCACCTGAAAAAACGTTCTGAGAAACTTACCATCATTTTGGCTCTTGCCCTTCATCTCCTCTTTCCACGATGGGATGGTGTTCAGGGGAACATAATCCCTTATGTATTCTTTGCGTCTCTCCTCTATGGTCATCTTCAGCAAACGTTCTTGCAAAATAAAAGCAGAATCTCCATTTGTATTTAACTTTTATGTTCAGGAATTATTTTATAATTTAAATATTAACCATGTTAAATTAACCAAGAGTTGATGTGGGCTTGAAGAATACCAAAATACAAATCTAGTGACTCCATATTTGAATGGAGTCAAATTAACACTCAGCAGGCAAAAAAAAGATCAAAGCCTGATGAGGAAAACATTCTTGTGACAGTCCAGAAAGAAGCTCTTTCAGATATCTACTGGCAGTCCACTATGTGCCAAATGATACATTTATACACTGCAGGGACAAAGGTGACCCTTAACTCTGGAGGAGTTCATAAGACAAAAGGGGAAATGGGCAAGATAAAAAATAATAGCTACATAAATAAAATAAAAAATCCTAAGACAAATACATACGAATGCTAAAAGCACAAGAAAAGCAACCACCAAGATATTCCTTAATTCTATGATGCCATCAACAATAAAAATGCCCTTTCAATTTAATAATACCTTTGTGGAGGTGATATAAATAACACTTTGTAAGTCTTGATTCTAATATTATAACACTTTTTAAACACTTAGAATTAACAACAGCTGATGTCATTTATAAAGAACTCACTGTGCGCCAGGACCTTCATATGTATACTTTTATTAAAATAATCTTTCCAACACTCAGCAAAACTGATAGTATAATTATTTGGATTCTGCAGATAGGGAAATGAAGCACATCAAAGTTCAGCAGTTTGTTCAAATCGAGAGAGCTTTCCATTAAAATCCACATAGATATCTCCATCAACAACTATAGCCTACACCATTAGCCACTATACTGTACTACCGTCTCAGGGAAAGCTCCCCAAGAGGTGAATGCAGCAACACCAGGCTTCCCTGTCCATCACCAACTCCAGGAACTTTCTCAAACTCATGACCATTGACTCAGCGATGCCATCCAACCATTTCATCCCCTGTCATCCCCTTTTCCTCCTGCCTTCAATCTTTCCCAGCATCAGGGTCTTTTGAAATCAGTTGATTCTTCACATCAGGTGGCCAAAGTAGTGGAGCTTCAGCATCAGATCTTCCAATGAATATTCAGGACTGATTTCCTTTAGGATGCACTGGCTTAAGCTCCTTGCAGTCCAGGGGATTCTCAAGAGTCTTCTCCAACACTACATTCAAAAGCATCAATTCTTCAGCACTTAGCTTTCTTTATAGTCCAACTCTCATATCCACACATGACTACTGGAAAAACCATAGGTTTGACTAGACGGACCTTTGTTGGCAAACTAATGCCTCTGCTTTTTAGTATGCTGTCTAGGTTGGTCATAGCTTTTCTTCGAAGGAGCAAGCATCTTTTAATTTCATGGCTGCAGTCACGATCTGCAGCGATTCTGAAACAGTCTGTCACTGTTTCCATTCTTTCCCCATCTATTCTCCAAGAAGTGATCAGGCTGGATGCCATGATCTTAGTTTCTTGAATGTTGAGTTTTAAGCCAACTTTTTCTCTCCTCTTTCACTTTCATCAAGAGGCTCTTTAGTTCTTCTTTGCTTTTCGGCCTAAGAGTGGTGTCATCTGAGGTTATTGATATTTCTCCCAGAAATCTTGATTCCAGCTTGTGTTTCATCATGACATCCCACCATTCTGCATGATGTACTCTGCACATAAGTTAAATAAGCAGGGTGACAATATACAGCCTTGACATACTCCTTTCCCAATTTGGAACCAGTTCATTGTTTCATGTCCAGTTCTAACTGTTGCTTTTTGACCTGCATACAGATTTCTCAGGAGGCAGGTCAGGTGATCCAGTATTCCCATCTCTTTCAAAATTTTCCATAGCTTGTTGTGATCACACAGTCAAAGGCTTTAGCGTAGTCAATAAAGCAGAAGTAGATGTTTTTCTGGAAATCTCTTGCTTTTTCTATGATCCAGCAGATGTTGGCAATTTGTCCTCTGCCTTTTCTAAATCCAGCCTGAACATCTGGAAGTTCTCAGTTCACATACTATTGAAACCTAGCTTAGAGAATTTTGAGCTTTGAATAAACTATTCAAGAATAATTTAATGAAGGTATTAATACAAGGAGGAAAATGGCCACAAATTTGAAAAGTAACTGGAAACATAAAACAAAAATGCACAGAAATCTCTATACCATGCCAAGAAGTTTAATCTTACCCTAAAAACTGTTTTTTGGGTGCTGTTGTTGTTGCTTTGTTGCTTAGTTGCTAAGTATGTCCAACTCTTTAAAACCCCATAGCCTGTAGCCCACCAGGCTTCTCTGTCCTTGAGATTTCCCAGGCAAGAATACTGGAGTGGATTGCCATTTCCTTCTCCAAGGGATCTTCCCCACCCAGGAACCAAACCTACATCTCCCGCGTTGGCAGGCAGATTCTTTACTGCTGAGTTACCAAAGAAGCCCTTACCCTAAAAACTATACCACTAATATTCAAAGTTGATTATGCATATCCTAGATGGTGCATAAAATGATCTACTAGGATACGGTGGGGGGGGAGGAATAATGTAAAAATTCTGTTTAAAACTAAGGGAGTAACAAGTTAAGATTTACTAATATTCATTGCATAAACTGACACTGGCATCCTCACTCATTTTGTTATGTCAGCTGTCATGTATCACGTACTTTACCAAAGGTCTCCATGATGCAGAGCAATTGACAGTCATACTCACACTTTCAATTCTCTTTCCACATACTATGAGGTACAGTAGTTTAGGTAAGTGGTTTTAAGGATAGTATTTCACTTTAGGTAATCTAATCCTCATAAAATAATCAATTTAAAAGATCCTTTCACAGAAATAAACTTGCAAAAAATATTTATGTAAGGGCAAGTGAACAAAAATTGGGGAAGCAACATTTTTCCCTGCTCCTAGAACCGGCTTACATGTGATATATTCAATACTACAATACTTCAGAGTCAACACTATATTGAATTTAAGACCTCTAGGGCATTCAAGTTTAAATCAAGAATCTGGAACTCAGGAGAAAGAAAACCAGCCTAGTGATTTTGGAATTCATAACCTAAAATTCTAGTCCTACAGTAAGTTCATAGGGAAGGATAAGATAGGAAAGCAAATCTCAAATAACATTTAGGGAGTGGACACAAAGAGGGGAAAATAAGACAAAACAGATGTCACTGGGGGTACAAGGTGAATCAGTGTCCCAGTAATATAGAAACCAGCAAAGAAAAGCGTTTTATTGAGGAGAAGAGGGGAAATCTTGTCAATTGCTATAGGAAGATCAGGAAGAATGAAAATTAATAAGCCACACATTTTTATCACCTGGGTCAAAAACAACAATGAAAAGAGAACAAAATGGTCAACAGAGCCATCTGGATTCTAACGCCAAATCATACAAATCTATGTGACCTTGGGTTATTTAATCTCTTTACATCTCTCTTCTTCTTGAAGTAGGCTGGTAGGTATTATTCCCAATGTATAGATGAGACAACTAAGAGAGAGAAGTTGAATAATTTATCTACAGATCCACAGCTGGTAAGCAATACAACTAGGATTCAAAACCAGGCAAATGGAGTTCAAAACTCAAGAGAGAGTGCTCAGGCCTGGTGCACTGGGAAGACCCAGAGGGATCGGGTAGAGAGGGAGGTGGCAAGGGGGATCAGGATGGGAAATACATGTAAATCCATGGCTAATTCATGTCAATGTATGACAAAAACCACTACAATATTGTAAAGTAATTAGCCTCCAACTAATAAAAATAAATGAAAAAAAAAAAAAAAAACTCGAGAGCTTTGAGTGCAAGCTCAAAGCTTACAATATACTACCTTATGAAGTTGTCAGAATTAAATAAGACAATTCAAGTATGTTACTTAAAACAGTGCTGGGCACACAAAAACAGAACTCAAATAGTAAGTATTTTTTTTATACCAGTACCACCATCATTGTTATTACTGCATGACTTTAGAAACATTAGTTTCCTTAAAGCATAACTGAGATCCAGGAGACTGAGGGACTGAGAGAAGTGAGAATAGCAACTCCAAGGGAAACCCTGTGGAAGGAAGGTTACCTTAGGGTAGAAGAAACTTAATCACTGTTATAGGCTAAGAAGAGGACCCAAAGACACTGAGAAATTAAACATACCCAAATGAGCATAAATGACAATACAAGATCTCAAAGAATACAGATGATATAAAGAGCACAAGCAGACGGGTTAACCTTAGAAACCAAGGGAAAAAAAAGTGTTTCCTCTAAAAAAAAGGAAGAAAGCTGAAAACAATGGACATGTAAAGAAAGAGACTATGGAGAATGATGTTATGACTGTTCATGTGTTCATGACGTGTATTTTCTCCATGAATCAAAAAAGCAATGGCAGACTTCTCTGGTGGTACAGTGGATAGTTATCTGCCTGACAACACAGGGAATATGGATTGAATCCCTGGCCCAGGAAGATTCCACATGCCACGAAGCAACTAACCCTGTGTGCCACAATTACTAAGCCTGCACCCCCAGAGCCCGTGCTCCACAAGAGAAGCCTCCGCAATGAGAAGCCTGCTCACACCAACGAAGAGTAGCCCCTATGCTGCAACTAGAGAAAGCATGCACACAGAAACAAAGACCAATTGCAGCCAAAAAACACACACACACAAGGGAATGTCATCTGTTTAGTATAGGAGGTTGGGGTCTTAGTGAAAAAGGAAGCTTGAAGGGAACTGTAAATATGAAATAATCACAGAGGAAGAAAAGTGATGACTGGGGTTTACCAAAGCACAACCATAAAAGATCAGATCACTGACATGGAAATACTGCAATATCAACAATCAGGATTGAAAATACTATGAAGCAACTTGTACTTTTTAGTATCAGAGTACATATGGGAAAGCAACCTGACCTCTGTCATTCCATTTACTTAAAAACTCAACTATGGACACAAAATAAGACAACAAGATAAAACACTGAGATAATTTAACTTTCAGTACTTAAAATGATAATACACACTGAGTACTTTTGAATTAGGGGGTGCAAATTATTAGATCAACATCATTTATTTAACCTATGTGGACTTGAGAATTCCTTACTTATTTAAACAATGACACATACTGGAGGCCACAGTTATATACACAGTCTCTTCAGTTTTACACAAAACTTTTCCTTAAGGGATGTTTCAGCTTTACAGTCATACTTAGTATACGGTATACTGAGTTAAAATATGTTTATAGAATGCCTTGACATTTTAATGAGGTAGGTAAGCCTTCCTTTAGATTTAAATAACAGCTACAAAAATATGATAATACCCTCTTCACTGCAATTCAGAAAAAGGTCATGCATTCCATCAGCTTCTTAATACTACTATCTTGGAAATCCTTAGCTCCTTCTTGGTGGTACAACATAAGATAGAGAGAAATTTTATTGAAATACAGTTGATTTACAATATTATAAATACTACTTATTCCAAAAATAGATATCCTGATTAAGACACTGACACACTAAAATGTCTTCAAGGCCATAATAATTTTCTCTTTTAACATTTAACTTCATGTAAAAATAGGTTAATTTTGGACAAGAGAAAAATTTACTTTGTTAAACGCCTTCTTTAACTGTGCATTTGCTTCTCTGTTAGGATATATTAATTTAGTAATATCTTCTATTATTACAAGAGAAGAAAAAAATCAAGACATTAAAGTTTCTAAAATGTTTATCACAGTCTAACAGTGTATATGTTAAATGAAGGATCCGTTATAACACTGTTACTTTAGGAACATTATTATGGAATAAAGATAGTTCTTAAGTAATTGATATAATTTCACCAATTATTCATCTATTGAAAACAATCTCCATGTCTTTCACTATTCTGCCTTCATTATTATCAATAATAGCAATCTACTATTTCAAGATCATCAATAAAAATGGGCATTTTTATTTGAAAAAAAGATTTTTCAAAGCTTAGAAGACAAATTCTTGTTGAAATTCAAATAACTTCTACTGGGAAAACAAAGCAAAATTATTTTACACTACTCTATATATCAATAGCATTTGTTTTGCAACACCAAAATTTAGTTCTATATATGTCCATAATCATTAAAATGTAATTAAATGGTATACAACAATATTTAAAGACCCTTTTAATTGGGTCCTTCAGTTATGCTATGTTAATTCTTGCCAGTAGTTAATGTGGAAAAATAAATCCCTATTAATCCCTTTATTCATGCGCTGTTTGAAGTAAGCCCTATATTAAAGGATTCTTTTCCCACATTCATTCCCTTTCTTTCATCCGCTGCTTGGCCTTATTTATAAAGACCAGGAGCTGCAAAAACAATCCACAGGTTTTAAACATCTATTATCAAGGAAATCAACTTTCACTCTAGTCATTCCTTGTTCTATAAAGAAGGTAAGGTACTGTGGAGAGAGTTGCACTTCTGTCACTCTTGACATACTCTAAGTTTAGTATATCTTAGCAGTAGCACTGCAAGTACTTTTTACTACATTTCTGTATAATTAGCTAATTTTTAAGAAACAAAAAACAAACTGCAGAGACTCTTAGAATATTGCCTAACTGATGCCAAAGAGAAACGGGGGGGTGGGGGGGTGGGGGGGAGATGGTTGAGTCGCACACTTCAGTGTTTTATCGACCTCAATGCCGCCGTCAACCTGACTGATGTGGGCAAGCTTGGATCGGCACAAAACTCAGGGGTAGGCTCACTCACAGAGTGACATTAGTCTCATAATCTTACTCGGAGCAACTTCAGACCGTGACGGAATTGAGAGGAAAAGCACCGCGGAGAAAAACCCATTCGGACTTCTCCAAAGGCACCTAGCCTCGAGGACCAGACACGCTCGCTTCAGGTGTCCCCGGAGATCCAGGTTCCAAAAGTCACACTGCGGCGGGCGCAGAAAGAAAGGCCCTGACTGAACACCCAGAGGCGGGGACGCCTGGCCAGCGGAGCACAAGGGAGTGAGGCGAGGGATGACCGGCTGAGGCTCCGCGGGAGCGGGGCAGCATCAGCAGCGGCAGTCCGGCCGTCTGCCGGCGGACACGTGTCCGCGGGACACCTGGGCGGGGAATCCCAGAATCCCGGCTGGGGTCCGGGGACAGGGCAGGCGGCTTGAGGGAGTCCGGAAGAGCCCAGCGGCCGCCGCGCAGAGGTCCGCACCGCCGGCTCGGCGAAGGTGACCGGGCGCAGCGGGACGCGGAGAGGGGCGTGCGCCCACACGTGCGCGAGCCGCAGGTGCCCGGGGGTGGCGCGTGCACGCCGGCGTGCGCGCGTGTACACACACGGACCTGCCGGGAAGGCGGCACCGGCTGGGCGGGCGCGAGGCAGGAGCCGGGCGGAGCGCGCCGCGGCACACAGACCCCTGACCCCCGCCCCCAACCCACCCCGCCGCCCGACCCCCCAGGACTCGACGGCCGGGTTACCTTTCTCCTCTCTCCACACCTTTTTCTTCTTGTTGCTGGGGTACATGTTGCCGTGGGGGTGGCTGGCTTTAAGCTGCAAGTTCCCCAGGCTCACGGGCAAACAGGGTGTGTGTGGAGTGGGAGGGTTGGGAGGGGGCACTCGGGAGGGAAAAAGTGAAAGAGGCGCCGGGTCCCGCGCCGCTAGCCGCTCTCCAGTCGCCGCCCTCCTCCCTCAGCCCGCGCTCGGCTCCGGCTCCCACCCGCCTCAGCCCACGGCCGCCGCCACAGCAGCACCTCAGAGCCTGTCAACTAGGTCACGCCTCGCGCTAACCTAACACCCGCGCAGGCCCCGCCTCCCAGCCGCTAGCCAGCGCCGCCTCCCATTGGCTGCACCGCCCGCCGCTCTCCGCGTTCCAGCCGCCGCGCGCCCCGACTTCGGCCCCAGGGCGCACGCGCAGGCGCAGGCTCGAGCCTGACGCCAGAGACGTTAGGGAGCTGGAGGGGGCGGAGCCAGGGCGCGAGGGGGCTGGAGGTGGCTCACGACTGGGGCGTGGCGTGGGGCGGCCACCCGGGAACTCCGAGAAGAGCTGGGCTTCGCTCCGGTTTCGCTGCTCAGGGAGAAACCGAGGGCGTGGCCTATGGGGAGGGCTAGGTGCGCCAGGTGACTGCAGACGGGCAACGCTGCCTCAGGGCCTAAAGCTGTATATGTGGGAGGGATGTCAGTCAACACGAACTGTACTCGCTTGCTCTCATCGCCTCGTCTGGACTGATTTTACCACAGAATCTGAAGATTTCCTCGTGGTGGGCAAATATAACCGAAAGAAGAGAAAGCATTAGGTGATGATTCCAAACCATACACTATCAGCTCCCCGACCTTGTAGTAGAAACTACATATTTCACTCGATTCCGGTGAAGTCTGGAAGGAACAGAAGTAAAATGAACTACTCAAGAGTTTTAAGACCCGGGGAGGAGTGAGCAGCCAAAACTTAATATTGAAAACTGAAGAACTTCCATCAAAGCAAGTTCAAGTGGGTGTTAATCTTACTTTACTCTCCGCCAGTTGCTTCAGGTAAAGCTGCTGGTCTAAAGCGTTCACTTGAATCTGGGCAATACTAGTCTGCACGTGTTCTGAAAACCCAGTTCTACTTAAGTCTTCCATAAGAGTAGGGTGCCCTAGAATTTAGGGGAAATTTGGGTAACCCGCTCCCCAAATTTATGGTGTTTCTAAACATCAGACCATCTACAAGGCTGATTTGATGAAAGTGGTGAATCCGCATTTGATAGAGTACTGTGCCATATGTGCTGTAGGTAAGTCAGATGTGTAAGAGCAAGTAATTATTTGGAACACAGTTTCTTTTAATAGAAAAGAAAGGGGGAGGCCCCACTTAGAATTGTAAAGAATGAAATGTTCTGATTAACAGGACACTCATGAAAATGATTAATAACACAGGTTAAATTTTTTATTGTGACAGTGCTTCTGTTTTTCTCAACACTGTGAAACTAAAAAATTGAAAGAAATAAGGAAAGCTTCAAGAAGGAAGTGAAATTTGAACTAGTAATAAAAATACTCATTTACTGGCAGTGGAAATAAAAGGTGAACTCTAGTAAAGGGCACATTACCGGCACAGGATAAAATTAATGTAGAATTGCAGCAGTGAGACGTTTTAGTTAACAGTGTATAGAGTGATTTTGCATAGCTGTGCCTGTATTTTGAGGATCTTGTTCTTGAAGGCTTAGTTTGTACAGTGAAGGGTATAATCAGGAAATAATTCAGTCTGAACTGTCTTAATAAAGGCTGGAATATTCTGGTGAAAAAAAAAAAGGGCACATTACCAAGGCAGAATCAATAAAAATTGGTAACAAAATAGATTTGGGGAAGAGAATGAGAAAGAGAAAGAATATAGGGTTTCATGGTATAATTGAGGAAAACAGCAATATGATTAATGCTGTGAACAATACAGAAACAGTTTCAATTTTGTGGGAAAAATATTGAATTCTTAGTTAGAAATACAAAATGTTAGGTGTTTACAGGAAAGTGCATTATCTAGGCACCATCTCTTCTGTTAAAACAGAGAAGCTTTTACCACCGGAACCCAGAGCCAGGCATTCCACCTGTGCTTTCTTAGGAATACTACACTATTGATTATCTCATGTTGACTCGAAGAACTGGGACCATCCATCAACTTTTAAACTTTCTCAGATCTTTACCATGTTAAAAAAAAAAGTTCCTCCTGTGATCCCACACCCACTACTGCTAGCAGAAGTTATAGCTTCTTCCATTCAAAATATTGTGTCCATTTTCTTACATCCCACTTTCTGTTCTGCAGTTCACTCTAATCTGGGTTCTGGGTTCTATCCTATAAATCAACAGAAATGGCTATTGCTAAGGTAATCAATGACCTTCATGTTATATTTAGTGAACACTATTCAGTCTTTCTCTTACTAGATCTTTCAGCAGCCTTTAACACTATTAACCTTTTATTGCTCCTTACAGAGTTCTTTTCCTTTGATAGCCCAGTTGGTAAAGAATTTTCCTGCAGTGGAGGAGACCCTGGTTAGATTCATGGGTCAAGAATATCCTCTGCAGAAGGCATAGGCTACCTACTCCAGTATTCTTGGGCTTCCCTGTGGCTCAGCTGGTGAAGAATCCACCTGCAATGTGGGACACCTGGTTAGATCCCTAGGTTGGGAAGATCCCCCAAAGAAGGGAAAGGCTACCCACTCTAGTATTCTGGCCTGGAGAATTCCATGGAATGTATAGTCCATGGAGTCTCAAAGAGTCAGAAATGACTGAGAAAGACTTTCACTTTCACTTCAATTTGAGTTTCTTCCTGTCTAGTCATTCCTTTCAGTTCAGTTCAGTTCAGTCACTCAGTCAGGTCCGACTCTTTGCTACTCCATGGACTGCAGCATGTCAGGCTTCCCTGTCCATCATGAACTCCCAGAGCTTACTCAAACTCATGTCCGTAGAGTCAGTGATGCCATCCAACCATCTCATCCTCTATTGTCCCCTTCTCCTGTCTTCAGTCTTTCCCAGCAACAGGGTCTTTTCAAAGGAGTAGTTTCTTCACATCAGGTGGCCAAAGTATTGGAGTTTCAGCTTCAACATCAGTCCTTCCAATGAATATTCAGGACTGCTTTCCTTTAGGATGGTTTGATCTCCTTGCAATCCAAGGGACTCGCAAGAGTCTTCTCCAACACCACAGTTCAAAAGCATCAATTCTTTGGTGCTCAGCTTTCTTTATAGTCCAACTCTCACATCCATACATGACTAATAGAAAAAAACATAGCTTTGGCTAAATGGACCTTCGTTGGCAAATTTATGCCTGTGCTTTTTAGTATGCTGTCTAGGTTGGTCATAGCTTTTCTTCCAAGGAGCAAGCATCTTTTAATTTCATGGCTGCAGTCACCATCTGCAGTGATTTTGGAGCCCCAAAAACTAAAGTCTCTCACTCTTTGCATTGTTTCCCCATCTATTTGCCTTGAAGTGATGGGATCAGATGCCATGATCTTAGTTTTCTGAATGCTGAGTTCTAAGCCAACTTTTTCACTCTCCTCTTTCACTTTCATCAAGAGGATCTTTAGCTCATCTTCGCTTTCTGCTATTAGGGTGGTGTCATTTGCATATCTGAGGTTATTGATATTTCTCCCAGAAATCTTGATTCCAGCTTGTGCTTCATCCAGCCCAGCATTTCTCATGATGTACTCTGCAGGTAAGTTCAATAAGCAGGGTGACAATATACAGCCTTGACATACTCCTTTCCCAATTTGGAACCAGTCTGTTGTTCCATGTCCAGTTCTAACTGTTGCTTCTTGACCTGAATACAGATTTCTCAGGAGGCAGGTCAGGTGGTCTGTTATTCCCATCTCTTGAAGAATTTTCCACAATTTGTTGTGATCCACACAGTCAAAGGCTTTGGCATACTCAATAAAGGAAAAATAGATGTTTTTCTGGAATTCTCTTGCTTTTTCAATGATCCAATGGATGTTGTCAATTAGATCTCTGTTTCCTCTGCCTTTTCTAAATCCAGCTTGAACATCTGGAAGCTCATGGTTCACATACTGTTGAAGCCTCGCTTGGAGAATTTTGAGCATTACTTTGCTATCATGTGGGATGAGTGCAATTGTGCAGTAGCATGAACATTCTTTGGCATTGCCTTTCTTTGGGATTGGAATGAAAAGAGGCCTTTTCTAGTCCTGTGGTCACTGCAGAGTATTCCAAATTTGTTGGCATATTGAGTGTAGCACTTTCACAGCACCATCTTTTAGGATTTGAAATAGCTCATCTGGAATTCCATCACCTCCACTAGCTTTGTTCATAGTGATGCTTCCTAAGGCCCGCTTGACTTGGCATTCCAGGATGTCTGACTAGGTGAGTGATCACAGCATGGTGTTTATCTGAGTCGTGAAGATCTTTTGGGTACAGCTCTTCTGTGTATTCTTGCCACCTCTTCTTAATATCTTCATTCCTTTACAGTCTCCTTTTTTGCCCCATCTTTCTTTTCAATCATTACATGTTGGAGTTCATTGGCACTCAGAACTAGAGCTTCTTACCTCTTTTCACTTTTTACTTTGAATAATTTCATCCATATTCATGGCTCCATTTATAACTATACTTCTCAACTAGGGGCAGTTCTGTCTCCCTTGGGGACACAAGCAATGTCTGGTGGCATTTTTGGTTGTCACACCTGAGGGAAGAATGCTACTGGCTTTGAGTGAGTATAAACCAAGGATTCTGCTAAGCAACCTATGATGCACAATATAGTCCCCCACAACAAAGAATGTCAGTACTGCTGAGGTTAGGAAATCCTGAGTTACACCAATGGCTCTCAAATTTATTATTTCCAGGAAAACTTTCTTCTTGAACTTTAGACCTATACATGCTACCATGTACTGGACCTTAATTTTAAGAGGCAGTGTTACATACTGGCAAAAAGGCATGTGGAGCCAGTTCATCTGAATTCAGATTCTAGGTTTACCCTTATTGATTACGTGACTCTTGGCAATTTACTCAAGGTCTCTAAACTTTGTGGGGAGGGGGGTTGATCTGTTATGTGGAAATGAAAA